AAAAAAAAATATTCCTTGTAATATGGTTGACCACATCAGGATATGCATGAACAAATAACCTGCTCAGAAATTTTAACAAAATTTGACCACATTTATAGACCTTTTAAAATACTAGTAAAGTGCACGTGCAATGCACGTGGTGACAAATATTTTTGGCCGATAAGATAAATCAATTAATTTATTAAATATATGATTGCAAGAACAAAATGAAATATAGAACAAATAAACTCTTAATATAATTTTTTTGTTAAAAACAACATAATGATGTCGTAACATAAAAGGATTTAAATAACATGTTACAAACTCAAACAAAAGTATATAAGAAAATAAGTCCCTAATAATAATAATAATAATAATAATAATAATAATAATAATAATAATAATAAATAAGGATCTAATGTATATTATAGATGCATGAGTTATTTATCTATTTGTAATGTTCGAGAGTCATTTTTTTTTTCATTTTAGTTTTGAGTTCTCATAAGAAATATTCATACTCATTGGAGTCCAATACATCAATAGTATTGCAAACTTATTCTTAATTAATTAGTAAAACATCTACTTTATTCAACACTTATAAATACTTTAGCCAAACATATACTCAAACTTCATAATTGAACGATCATTATAAGGTATTTCAACTAACATTTCATAATTATCTATGTGAAGTAACCAACCATGCCACTGAAATTCGTGATTTTTTTTATCATTGTATAAACTACTACATTACTCTCTCTCTTTCTCTTTCTCTCTCCCCATATAGACAAATTGGTACCTATCATATAAGGTGAGAACGAATTTTATTTCTAAACAAAAGTTGATTTTTCAAAATCATGTACTTCTTCGAAAAGATGCTAAACTATTTTTATTATCATCATATTACATGAAGTACATACTCTAAAGTAATTGCGCATATTCTCGAGCACAATACACAATTAAGATTGTAAATGTTCCTATTAAAAAGTGACAACTTACTCAAACATTCAAAACTATTTTGATCAGAATCGAACATTCTCTTTTTAGTGTTATTTATTTAGAAGATTGACAAGCTACATAACCTATTGTTTGCAAATCAATAACTATTTTGGTTGTTGCAATGATTTCAAAGTTATTTGTCTTAATACTTTTCCCAATCAATCGAATTTGTAATATTGAGAAGCATATCACTTTGTCAAAATATTTCAGATGAGAAGAATTTGAATTATATTATATTATGATACTCTTAGTCATATGAAGTTTATTATTATGACGTCATTATTAAAGTTTGTGGTCCATATTATGATTATATGGAATCATTATTTATGATTACCAATTTCTTATGAAGAAAACAATTTAAATGCTAGCTAAAAAAAGTAGTAACTATAAATAAAAGATTTTTGTTTCTTGGTATTGGTATTCATGGTACTCATACTTTTCTAAGAAAATTCAAACTTTTTTCTTTCCCATTTGCATTAACATTCTATTTATATGCATTGTTTTTTTTTTTTAACTTGTTTGATAGTAATAATATATTTGATAAAAGTGTACTTTTATATTGTTTATAATATTAAAATTCTTTAGATTTTTTTTCCATTGTTTGCTAAATATTAAGTAACTAACTCATTTTTATATTCACAAAGTATATTTTACACCCCTTATGGTGTTTCATTTCAAGCAGTAATTGAATAATTGTTTAACATACGATCCATTAATTTTTTTAATTCACATAGTTAACATAGGTGATAGTTGTACGTTTACATCTATTTTCCCTTTTTTCTTGGTATGAATAATTAAAATATATGTAAGAAAAATATACTACAAGTTTATCTATTATTATTTTATAATTAATTATTTTAAGTGAGTTAACATGTGTCTATAATTTATTTTATAAGATGCTTTTAGGTCTATTTATTATTTTAACTTGGTTCAATAAAAATAAATATATTTTTATTTTATTTACAATACATTGACCAAATCAAACATGATGGGAAAGAAATAATGTGATATTATATATCACATAAATAAAAAATATTATTATTTTTTCAAAATAATGTGATATTATATATCACATAAATAAAAATAAGAAATATTATTATTTCAAAAAAAATAATTTAAAAAATATAAAAAGAATTAAGACAAACATACTGATTTCTAATACAAAAAAAAAAAAATTATAAATATGCATCATAAGTATGTTTTAATTTATCATTCGCTAGCTTCAATTGATATAGGACATTTATTAATTTTATTACTTTTTTTTTTTT